AAGAAAATTGGCATTTATTGATCAATGTCAACTTGAAAGGAGGTCATTTGTGGAGTATAATATTATTTCCTACATACGAATCTAATGGTACACCATAAGAAGAATGGTCTCATCAGTGGCAGAGAAGAGTGGCAAGTTGTTTTCCTAATTGGGGACAACACATGAAAGGGAGCTGAGAAGAATTGGTGGGGAGGGGAGTGGGAAGAAGGTATCTGTGCAGGGGTATGGTGGAGAAGTCCTAAGAGTCAGAAGCATAGCCAAGGAGGGGAATGAAGCATGGCCAACCCACACCTGTCCCCCAAATGGAGGCCCTGGAAGGAACTCAGCACTGGGAGAAGGAGGCCAGGATGGTGGTGTTCTAAGGTGAGAAAACTCCAGGTGTGGAGGGAAGTTTCAGTGTGAGGAGGCATCCGAGGAGGTATAGTGGCAAAATCTGGAGAATAAGAAGCCTGTCTAGGAAGCGAATGAAGCATGGCTAACCTGGGCCCAGCCCCAAAATGGAGGCCCCTGAAGAAACCCAGAGGGTTATTGAACAGGTTATCTCTCTTGTTATTTCAAGAAATTTTGAATGATTTACGTGTATAAATGAGTGGCATCTTCACTAAGTTGAATGTCTTGCCAAGTTTTCTTTAAACTGGTTTTACCTTTCACTACTTCTCTCTGCTTTATGAGATAAAACTGTTCATAACTGTCCATCATCCTTCTTTGTAAGATTTTACAAACAAGTTTATTTTCTAACCTGGTATTGCTTTTGCTAGCCATCTTTCGTTTACTGACTAAAGTGTCTTCTGAGGTCTTTTGATCTTCATGTTTTGGCAATTAATTTGCATACGTTAAATTTTGTATAAATTATTAAAATTGGTGTCAGTGTCATTTCTGGTGTCCAGTTCCAATTTTTGATTATATAATTAATTCCTTAGAATGTCTGCTGTACTGCAAAGAAATCAAAGAAAGAGGAAAAGGATCTATAAATACAAAAATAGCAGTTCATTTTGTAGTAACCCCAAATTGGAAACTAATTGGGAGCTCATCTGTTGGGGAATGAATGAACAAATTATGGCATGTGAATATAATGCATTAGGATATTCTTGTACATTAAGAAATGATGAAATAGTTTCAGAGAACACTAAAAAGACCTCTGTGAACTGATGGAGGGTGAGCAGAACTAGGAGAGGCATTTATACAATGACATTATAGGGAAAAAACAACTTTGAAAGACTTCAGAACTTTGATCAATGAAATAATAAACCATGAGTCTAGAGATCTAAAGAGATACCTACCACTTATATCTTGACACAGAGGTGATGGATGTAAACTGCACAATGAGACATATTTTTAGATATGACTAATGTGGGAATTTGTTTTGCTGACTATGCCTATTCATTATCATGGTTTTCCTTTCTAAAAAAATTTTCAGTGGGGTGGAGTGGCAGTGAGGAGAGATAATAAGTGCTTATAAAATAAATATTTTTAGAAGAATGTACAATTCTTGAGGGCAGATAAAATTTCCCTTTTGTCTTTGTATTTCCACTGCTTAGCACAGTACCCCACACATAGTAAGCACTGCCTAAATGCTGAATGATTGATTGTTTGAATAGTTCATGGTTGAATTGTTTCACTTTTATAATTTTTCTTGATTTTTAAAGTATTTTCTTTATTGTTATTATCATTGTTATTCTTTCTTTTTGTTTTTTATGAATTCTGGTCTTAGCTCTTTGGTCACCCAGGTAGATTTAAACTCAGGACATCTGATTTCAAACCAAGCACTTTCAACTACAATACATTCCATGTGTAAGACTTCTGTTTCATCCAGTAATTCATTTTTTAAAAAATTTATTAACTGTCTCCTTTATGGAAGAAATTGTGCCAGGCACTAGAGGAAATATGGAGAGAACTATATGACACAAAACATCATCAGGATACTTATAAGCTGAGAAGAGGGAGAGGCATATATAACAGATGTGGAAAAGAAGGGTTGTATAATGGAAAGAGCTCTGGGTTTGAAGTCAGGAGTTCTGAGTTCAAACCTTGTCTCAGACTCTTAACTACATGTTTAACCCTGAACAAACCACCTACCTTCTTGGGACCTCAGTTTTGTCATCTGCAAAATGACAGACTTAGATTGGATGAATATATGACTATTAGAGATAATAGCTTCATCTGTAAAAAAGAGAATTCTTAAACTACCCTTACACACCTTGTAAGGGTTCCTCTGAGGAAAGCACTTTAAAATCCTTAAGGCACTGTACAAATTCTTCCTCTGACACGTAGTAGCTGTGTCATAATGAGAACCTCAAGCACATCTCTATGACTGTGTTATAGATGGAATCTACACAGATAAAGGGAGTTTGCACACCAAGGAAATCAGAAATGTTTGATGTATTAACAAAATAATAACAAATGAATATGATATGAGAACAAAGCAATGGGATATAGTAGAGAACTTGGAACCTGGGAGACATTCAAATCCTACCTTTGATACTTACTAGCTGTGTGACCTTGGACAAATTACTTAAACTTTCCGAGCCTGTTTCCTCATCTATAAATAAAGAGGTTGGACTATATGACCTCTGAGGTCCCTTTCAGTTCTAAATCTATGCTCCTAAGTTAAAAGAATGGGGTGTCAAAATGCCAAGAGAACATGACGAGAGAGAAATCACTTTGACCTTGAAGAGTCAGGGAAGGCTTCATAGAGGAGGTGGCGCCTGAGTTGGGCCTTGAAGGAAGCAAGAGAATACAGGAGATGGAGATGAGCCTGTAGATCAGCCTATTCTAGGCTTTGGGAACAGTATGAACAAAGGCAGAGAAGTGGGTCATAAACCTCAATGAGGTCACTATGGCAGAACTAGGCAGCTGGTTTTTATTGTTACTTATATTACTTGGATCATCTATTGGTGATTGGACCCAAATACTCTCTGGGTGCCTTCAGCCCTGACTCTTTACTGTGTTATAGAATAGTAAATAATAGGATAGAGAATAGAGCCTGGACCTGTAATTTCATTGATTATAGGGAACTCCCAGATGAGGAAACTCCCTCTACCTATGCAAGTCAGAACTGTTTCTCCACCTTATAATCTTAAGAGTTTGCCTAGAAGAAACTTAAGTGGAATGGCCAGGGTCACACAATCAATATCTGTGAGAAGCATGAGGTTAATCCGGACTTTCCAGGTTCAAAGGTCAGATCTTTATCTATTATACCACAGTGCCTCTCTTGGGAAATAATACATCTAAGTGTGTGTCCAATCAAGAACTCAAAGACTCATTAGTAGACTGCCTGAGTTAGCCCTACAAATTATCTAGCCACCTCCTCCATACCTGCAACAGAAAATCCTCTCTTCAGAATTCCCATTCAACCCCCAGCTTGAAGCCCCGAGCAATAATAGCAGTGAAAAGGACCTCAGAGAGGGTTTTTTTTTCCTATTGATTCAGTCAGTTAGCAAGCATTTATTTATTAAGTACTTACTATCTGCCAGAGAATGTGCTAAGCACTGGAGATACAAAGATAAAAAACATGGTCCCTGACCTCAGGAAGCCTTCGTTCTAATAGAGGAGACAACATGCAACAAAAATTGTACATACAAGATATGTACAATGAAAATGGAAGATAGTCTTAGAAGAATAAGAAGAAGACTGAGAGACTAGGGAAGCAGGGAGGAAGGGGTAGGGGGACTGGGAAAGGTCTCCTAGAAGGAAGCCAGGGAAACCAGGAGGTAGAGATGAGGAGGAATTACATTCCAGGTATGAGAAGCAGCCAAAGAAAAGGCAGAGTTGGAAAATGGATTGTTGTATGACTGGAACCACAAGATGGCCAGTGTTGTTGGAGAGGAGTCAAGTGTCAGAAGACTGGAAAAGTAGGAAAGGGTCAGGTTCTGAAGGGCTGTAAAAGCAAATACGATTTTATATATGTTCCTAGAGATAAAAGGGCATTGGAGTTTATTGAATAGGGGATGACATGGTCATGCACTTTATCAAGATCACTATGGTAGCTGAATGGAGAATGGTTGGGGTGGGGAGAGATAGGGCAGGGAGACCCAAAGGCTATTGCAACAGACCAGGCTAAATGAGGTGAAGTGATGGGGCACCGAAGTGGTAGCTATGTGAGTGGAGAGAAGGGGGTATGTATGAGAGATGTTGAGAAGGTAAAAAGGACAAGACTTGGCAACAGATTGGATATGGAAGATGAAAGAGTGGTGAGCTGAGGATGAAACAAGAGGGCGAGCTCAGGTGACTGGGAGGATGATGGTGCCCTCAACAGTGATAGAGAAACTTAGGAGAGGGGAGATTTTGAGAGGGAAGATAAAGAGTTCTGTTTTGGATATTTTGAGTTTGAGATGCCCGTGAGATATCCAGTTTGAGAGGTTAAAAGCCAATTGGTAATTTGAGACTGGAGCTCAAGAGAGAAACTAGGACTTGATAAATAGATCTGGGAATCAGAGAAATGATAATTGAACCTTTGGGAGCTGATGAGATCACCAAGTAAGACAACAGAGAAGAAAAGAAGGCCCATGGAAGAAGCTTGTTAGACACTTGCAGTTAATGCATGTGCCCTAGAGGAAGATTTAGCAAAGGGGAATGAGAAGGAATCATCAAGTGGGCAAAAGAGCCAGGAAAGAGCAGTATTTCAAAAACCTAGAGAGGAGAACCCGGGGCAAGAAAAGTGATCAACCTGTCAAAGGCTATAGAGAGGTCAAGAAGAATGAGGATTGAGAAAAGGCCTTTAGATTTGTCAATTAATAGATTATTGGTAAATTTGGACCGAATATTTCCAGTTGAATAAGATTGGAAACCAGATTGCAAAGGGTTTTAAAAGTGAGAGAGAGGAGAGAAACTATAGGCACCAATTGTAGATGGCCTAAAGGGGCTTAGCCTAAAAAGGAGAAAAGAGGCATAAGTCAGTAGCTTACAGGAATTCACTTTAAAAAGTGACTTGGAAGAACTTTTGAGAACTGTGGAAAGGTAAAAGTCATTGATTTTAACAAATTATGTCCATATTTTGTTAGAGGAACATTTTTGCTTGCTGGAAACATTTCTGCCTCCCAAGCTGTCACAGATTCCTTGTTCCACGGATTACAACCAATGAGCAACAATCTTGTAAAGTCCGTGTTTGCTTTGCAACTCTGTCTTCCTCAGCCACTTGATCCACAGAGCCACCAGGTGAGTGAAGCAGGCACACTTATAAAGGACATTTACCACTCTTTAGAGAAAGTGGAGCCTAAAGTGACAATATTGTCACTTTTTAAAAAAAATTTGAATTTTCTTTCTTTATGTAGGAAACCTTCAAAGTTCTTATCTAGTTTTCAATATGGTAAGATTCTCTCTCTTCCCACCTCCTACCTCTCTTCTCTTCCTCCCTCCTTTCCCTCTTTTCTCCCCCTCTCTCTTCCCTGTCTTCCCCCCTCTTTCCTCCTTCCTCCCCTCTCCCTTTCTTTGTCCCTCTCTTTTTCCCTTTCTCTTCTCCCTTTTCATTACCCTTTCTCCCTCCTCCTTCCCCCTGTCTTACTCCTTTCCTTCCCCTCTTTCCTCCTTTCCCTCCCCCTCTCTTCCCTCTATCTTTTTCCCTTTTGTCTCTCTCCCCTTTCTCCACTCCTATCTTTGCTAAAGGCTCCACAAAATAATTAGATTTCCTAACATATATTTATCAGTGTACAGTACAAACACATATTCATGTACACAGTATAAGTTTATTGTAACAGAACTATGTCATTAAGTTTTTAATTTGGTTCCTTTAGGCATTCATGCTGTTTCCTTGGAGGGCATTCCTAGCAGTTGGAGGCCCATTTCCAATTATCCTCAGCAGCCCAGACCCCCTAGAATACAATATGCAGGTAAGTCATGGTGACAACTCCAAGATTATCATTGGAGCATCCCAAACAAGTCTGCTGGTCGAGTAGGTCCAGTCCTGTGTCCCTGATGGAGTGTGAGTCATCCACAAGTCACATGTTTGATGACAAAGCTTTAGTCTACATAAAACAAAGTGAGTCATGTTTGCTCAACACAGATGGGAACCTCACTCCCATTGGTATCTATTTGTCTTGCTTCAGACTTAGCTGGGCTTTCTCTAACAGGCAGCCTTAGAACTCAGATAGCCTTGGAACTAGGGTGTCACTTGACAGAGAAACCAGGCAAGCAGCTATTGGAGTGGAGTTTTTTTTTTAAAGTTCTTTAAAAGCACTCAAGGCTAGAAATTGTCCTTCTGTGAAAATTTAAGGTTTTTTTTTCTCTGTAAGTATTTTGTTTGTTTGTTTGTTTGTTTGAACTCCTACTGTAGATAGGAACTTATTGAGAAAATTCTACTCTCAGGGTCCAGGAAGGAGTTTTCAAGCAGCTTTACCTGTCTACCAGTATTCTCATGTCTTATTTTTTCTTTGTTCCCGTTCTGTTACGCTTTGCACACTGTATAGCAAAATTGTGATTTATGTGCTTGCATTTCTCAGACACCGTGATCCAGTTCTGTCTGTCCAGGAGAGGAGGCAGGGGTGGCCGTAGTAGTAGTACCTGCAAAGGGCCCATGTCCCCTGGCATAGTTTTCAGGTTAAAAGTAAAAAGAGACTTGAAATGCAGTTGCTTAGGGAGAAGTGCAAAATAGATAGGACCATAGAATTATAGATTTAGATCTAGAAAGGATCTTTGAGGCCATTGAGTCCATCCATCCCCCTTATTGTATAGGTGAGAAAACTGAGGCCCAGAGGTGTTAAGATCCTGACTTGACCAAGCCACACAGCCAGGAAGTATCTGATAAGGAGCCTTCTTGACTTCCAGCCCACTGCTCCATGCACTATGCCATCCTGCCTCTCACAAAACTTCAGAGAGGACGAGAGGATGCTAAAATCTACAGGAGGCTCCTGAACAGTGAGAAAGGCTTCACCAAGAGCCTCTTGTTTTAGTCTATCTCTTGGGTCATGAACTGGCCACAATTGGGCGTCTCATGCTTTTTATAGGAACAGCGTTTTTTATATTGTTAGAACAACCAAAGCATTGTTCAGTGTGTCAGAAGACTCAGGCTCTGGCCTGCGATCAGGACATTAAGATGGGCACTCCTCCAAGGCAACCCAACTAAGAGATTACATAATGTGTAAAAAATATAAATATGACCCAAAACCTCCCCAAACCTGACATCTCTTGACACAAGCAACACAGTGCAAACCCACCGTACTGTCTGTAATTAGAGTATCAGCTGCATAAGGAGAGGTTCCTACTACATGTAGCATTATGTAGCATTTTAAAAAATAATATGTAAAATTTTTGTTTCTAATTACATGAAACATTTTCAGCATTTGTTTGTTAAAATTTTGAGTTCCAAATTCTCTTTCTCCCTCCCTTCCCCACCCCCTCCCTAAGAGCAAGCAATATAGGTTATACATGTACAGTCATGCAAAACATACTTGCATACTAGTCATGTTTACATTTAGCATGTTGATGAGTAGGTTGGGGAACATGCTTTGACTTCAGATTTATCTGAATCTATATAATAAGTTGTATGATGGATTCTAATATGTAATAATAACAACAACAACTAACATTTACATAGGTCTTACTGTGTGCCAGACGCCGTGCTAAGCACTTTACAACTATTACCTCATCTGATTCTCACAGCAGCCCTAGAAGGTAGATGCTATTATCCCCATTTTACAGATGAAGAAACTGAGGCAAATAGGGTTACGTGACTTTCCTAGGGTCATACAGCTAGTAAGTGTCCGAGGCAGGATTTGAACTCAGCTCTTCCTGATTGCAGTCCCAGCACTCTATTCACTGTACCACCTAAGTAGCTGCCTTTATGGAGCTGGAAGGGATTTCAGAGGCCACCTAATCCAATCTCCCCATTTAACTTCTACAGAATCTGAAGCTTAGGGGCAGCTAGGTGGCGCAATGGATAAAGTACCAGCCCTGGAGTCAGGAGGACCTGAGTTCAAATGCGGTCTCAGACCAAACACTTGACACTTATTAGCTGTGTGACCCTGGGCAAGTCACTTAACCCCATTGCCTGGCAAAAAAAAAAAAGGAGAATCTGAAGCTTAGAATATGGTCATATAGGTAGTAAGTATCAGAAGTGAGACTTGAACATGGTTCCTTTGACTGAAAAAGCCAAGGATTTTTCCGCTGTACCACACTAATTCTTAGGGCTGTCTATCTTTAGTTATGCCTGTGTGGACTGAATGATCATGACCGAAAAGTGGCGCATGGGGAGCTGGTGTCTGTGCAGTTACAGATGGAGGATGTGCTCCTGACAAGATGATGGAAGATCCGCGAGGATTGCCCACTTCAGGAGAGAAAAACAAGCAGGTACTCCTGGCATGTGGTCCTGTTCTCATGTAATTGAGTCCCCCTGGGCTAATTCATGGGCTACCTGATCCACAGCTGCAACTTGGTCTCTCCCTCAGAGTCTTGTTTGTGCGTCTGAGTTAACTTTTGCTAAAAAGATCTCAGAGTCAGGGACCGATCAGCTTTCATTCTTTGGAAAAATGAACAAGGATTATGAAAGGTCAGGAGGATTCCAGTCATAGATTTAGAGCTGAAAGGGTCTTTGGAGTCCAAACCCCTCATTTCACTGAGGAGGAAGCTGAGACACACAGGGGTTACAGGACTTTGCCAGGGTCACAGAATCTCTAAGTGTCTGACATGGGATTTGAACTCAGAAGTCTTCCAGCTTCCAAGTCTTGTGCCCTATCCATTACACTGCTCATTAAAACTAAGCAAAAGGAAACGTTTAATGAAATTTTAAAAATAAAATAAAATAAATTTTACATGTAATTGGGAAATATTTAATGGAATCAATAAAAAAAAATGTAAGAACCTAAGCAAAACAGGATAGAGGGGAATTCAGCTGCTGCGGAGAGAAAGCTCCCTGGCTTAATTAATTATTCTTGCTAAGTAGATGCTAAGCCTGCTTTGTCTTTCTGCTGAAGGAGTGTAAATATTGTCAATACTCTCCAAGTTTTGGTGCCCTCAGACAAAGTGCCAGTCACTCCATTCTAGTTCTGTTTGTATCTTTCTCTTTGCCTCATATTTCCTTTTCTGCTCTTTCCCTTCGGAATATTAAGTTACAGAGTAATGCTATTATTGCCACCTCCCTCTGAGCCACCTCATTTAGTTAAATATCTTGCCTTTATGTGAGTCATTGGTGTCAGGCTATTCAGAGGGGTGTTTTTCGTGGCCCACAGGCGGTGCCTAGTAAAATCATCCACTGACAGTCCTGGGATACAGGAACTCTTCTTCTTCCGCCTCTCCCTACCACTTACAGTCAGTAATCCAGTTTAGCCCAAAGACCTCCAGACCTGAACACAAAGATGATGCTGAGGACCTCCTGAGTGTCTCTGTGGTCCCAAGGCAACAAACAAATATTGAATGCTACCTGTGTGGAGAACCCTGGGTTTGACAGAATGAGAGTGACCTGTGTTCATTTCTTGGCCAACACAATAACATCCATGAAGATTTTCTGGTAGAATGTAAGCTCCCTGAAGACAGGACTGTGCTATTAAAAAAAAATTATTTGCATGCCCATAGCCCTTACACGTAGGAAGTGCTTTATAAGCTTTTGTTGTTAAGTGTAAGGTTTGTAAGCTCCTTAAGGGCAGGGACTATACTATTTATTTACTGACTGACTGACAGAACCAGTCTCAGTGTAAATGCCAAGGCAAAGCCTCTGTCTTGCTGCTTTCCCATCTCAACAGCAAGGATTCCTTTACAACCCTCATATACCGGAATGTGCTTGAGGTTGTTGATGATTGTTACGTTCATAATTAAAAAGAAAAAAAGAAAAGAAGTATTACCTAAAACACCTAACACAAGAACGAGATGTTTTGCACAGAGCTAATAGCTATAGCATGTCCTATAACTCATTCCACCAGCATCTCTACTCTGTTTCTATAAATAGCCTCTGATATTTAATCTCCCTTATCCTTGCCCTGTCCTTGGTCTCTCTCTTCCTTTATCCTGCCTCCTACTTCTCCTGTCTTTCAAAAAAAAGTCACAGAAAGTGAACTGTTTCTGCGGGAGAGAGAGGTAACTTTCCTTAATTTGAATTTATTTCTCAGTAGTTTTTTTTTAAATTTCAAACCACAATTTACTTTAACAATTATAGTTTTTTATGTTCAGTTGTAGATTTACTATGAAGAACACAAATGCTGTCAACACCCTCCAAGATTTGGTGCCCTAGGGCAAAGGGCCAGTCACCCCACTTTAGTTCTGGCTTAGCCTCATATGTCCTCTTCTACTCTTTTTTTCCAGGGATACTGAGTAATAGAGGAGCTAGAAAGATCTTTGCATTCTAGTCCTACTCAGGCTTGCTGGTGATTCATGTTTTGGTTCATAACTACGATCCCCTATGTTTCCTGAGGGATTTAGTAATTTTGTTTTGTTTTCCTTAATGTTAGAGGCTAGACTGAAGTTCTGACCTTTTCAAAGACAGAGGTTAAAGATCAAGTAAGATAATTTAAATGTGTGTTGCATGAGAGGATCTTAGATCTAGAGAGGGAGTAGAATCCAGAGGTCATCTAATCTAACCCCAAGGTCACATAATTATTAAGCAGCAGAACCCATGTCCTCTGACTCCCAATTTAGCATTGTTTCCCCTGCAGCATGGTGCCTCTTCTCAGAGAAAAACTATGTCTCTGAAAACGTATGTTGACCTGTTTTACATGATTGCACATGTATAACTTATATCAGATTGCTTACCATCTCAGGGAGGAGGGAGGGGAGGAAGGGCTAGAATTTGGAACTCAAAACTTTAAGAAAAATAAATGTTAAAAATTGTTTTAACACCTAATTGGGTGAAAAAATAAAATATTATTAAAGCAAAAAATATATACAGCCTTTGCTCTGTAAACAAAAACAAACAAAAAACAACAACACATTTATTAACCAAATGGACCCCAGGCCAATACAATAAACTTAGAGACTGAACTCATCCTTTTTACAAGCGTCCATAAAAATGCGTATAGGATAGAAAAGATGGTTTTACTTCCCAAAATACAAATATAAACCACATCCCATTAGTATTGAACATAAAATCTGCTCATCCAGGCACCAAAGGATATTATGGTGTACATGTGAAAGCCAGCCTAAAATTCTCCTGATTTTCCTGTTCCCCCACAAGCTAGAAGTAGTCTTTCTTTTCTCTGATTCCACATTGTAATGTTTATACTTTTTAATGGAACATTTATCTCCATTATAACTATCTGTGCATTTGTGTGGTAGTACGTTGGGGGCAACATGGTGTTGAGATGACTTGAAGCTACAAGAGATGTATTCAAAACTTGTTTCTAACACTAGCTCTGTAATGTAAGAATGGACAAAAGCCTCTATGTCTCCGTGCTTCAGGTTCCTCAACTGTAAAGTAAGAACAATAATAGCTCTAGTGCTTACCTCATAGGGTTATTATACTAATATATGTAAATGTTTTGAAAACTTTAGAAAAAAACTTTTAAAAAAACCTTTGAAAAATTTTAAACCCATTACAAGTCCCCTTTGGTGGCCGCCTCTCACTCGGCTCTCACCTGTGGCTCCAAGAAGCTGTAGTATGTGCAACAGCCAAAGATGGATTAAACCAGGTTGAGAGTAACCCATGGGCCTCAAGCTAGCGGGGTAAGTCAGGGATGTCTACCCCAAGCATGTGAAGACTTTCCCCAGTGGGGTGGGCAGATGAGAACAATTAGTTCCAACGACCATGAAGGTGACTGAAGCAAGCATGGAAGACTCCAAGGTCATCCGCTGCATCCCAGGCCATCTCCAGTCATCCTCACTTTTGTCTCACAACTGGACTCTGATGACTCTGGAGGAGACAGTAAGGCTGATGACTTGGTCTAACTCTACCCCACTTAAATCCAATTTGCATGCCAGGCAAGACATCCCTTGGTCATTTCATTGATCCTCTTCAAAAAGTGAAGGACAAACAGCAAAGACAAGTCTTCACTATTACTGTTATTATGTAGTAATATTTCATTTATTTACTTATTTTAGGGCAATATATTATGCTACTTTACTATTGTGGTATAGTTAGCTAGGTGGTACAGTGGCTAGAACACTGGGCCTGTGTTCAGGAAGATCTGACTTCAACTCCATCCTCAGATATTTACTAGCTGTGTGACCCTGGGCAAATTACTTAATCTTGTCTGTCTCAATTTTCTCATCTGTAAACCTGAAATAATAATAGCACCCAACATGAAGGGTTTTTGTGAAAATCAAGAGATAAAATTTGTAATAAGCATGTGCCTAGCATATAGTAGGCACTTAATAAATGTTTATTGACTGACTCCCTTCTCCCTTCCTTTCCTATATAATAATTTCAGTCCAAAGTGAACAAAATGGCTGAATTAAATGGAAGTCAATCCTGGGGCAGCCCAAAGACCATCAGAACACTTGAGAAGCAGCGGGACCCACTGACAGCCTATGCTTTCCTGAGATCTTTTCTCATTATCTGGAAGCAGCTCAAAGTGCTAAAGGAGGGATGGGGCCAGCTCAGACTGAGGGTGGCAGACATCAACACAGTTGCTCTGTTTCAACAGTTTTTGGAGCTCTATGGGTGAGTTTTTCTGATAGAACAATATTTTGGGCTAAAATCAGTGGGATGGGGCAGATTCACAAACACTCCTCTCTTTGTGCCCCCCAGCACTCTCTTGTCTTTTGTTTCCTAGGCTAGAATTGACCTATTGTGCTGTCCAGTAATCACAGCCTCCCTCTGAGTCTGGTGGAAGTTATTATACAACTTCTCTCTACAATCAGGGCTTTATCGTGAAAACGCTGAGTTGTATAAACAGCATGTCCCCAAGGGCATCTCAAACTCAACTTTTCAGAAAAACAAATTCAGTATCTTTTTCCCCCCAAACCCAACCGTCTTCCAAGCTTCCCTATTTCTGTTGAGGGAACCACCATCTTTGTAGTTAACAAGTTTCACAGCCTTAGAATAGCCCTTAAATCTTCCACTCCCTTACATCTCCACCCTAATCCAATAAGTTGTCAAGCTTTGTTTGCAATTCCATGACATCTCTCACATCTATCCCTTTCTCTTTGCCCACACAGTCATTCTTCTAGTTAGGTTCATCACTTCTTACCTGAGCAATAGCTTCCTAATTGACCTCCATGCTTCTAGACTGGCTCCTCCCCAATTTATCCTTCATAAGCAGTCAAATTAATACTCCTAAAATACACATGTGATTGCATCAGTGTTCTGCTCACAATTCTTCATAGGCTTCTTATTCCCCCTGGAATAAAATGCAAACTTCTCATCCTGGTATTTAAAGCCCTCTACAATCTATCTCTCACCTTTTCAGACTTATTTTATGTTATTCTTCTTTGTAGACTGTTCATTCCACTCAAAATGGCCTAGTAGCTGTTCTCCAACCCCAACATTCCATCTCCTCTCTCCTAGTCTTTGGACAGATCATCCCCTATGCCTAGAATGCACTTGCTCTTCACCTGTGCCTCTTGGAACTTGTTTCCTCAAAGCTCAGATCAGGTGCCATGTCCCATTGGAAGCCTTTCTTACTTTGTTCCACCTCACCCAATTCCTTAGTGGTCCCTCCCTCCTCAAATTATCTTCTATTTACTTATTTGTATATGCATGTTGTATCCCTAAGTGAAATGTAAACTCTTTGAGGGCAGGGCTTATTTAATTTTTGTCTTTGTATCTTCAGTGCCCAGCACAACACCTTGCTCATAAGTAAGTGTTTTTAAAATGTTTGTTGACTTGAGCTGAATTGAATAGTAGGGACTTGAATAAATAATTATTGTTCAATAATGTATATGTTTCACAGTGATCTGTCCCAGGACTTTTTAGTTACTGCTTTTGAGCTGTTTAAATCATGTCCAATTCTTTGTGATCCCTTTTTGGGGTTTTCTTGGCATACTGGAGTGGTTTGCCATCTCCTTCTCCAGCTCATTTTACAGATAAGGAAACTGAGGCAAGCAAGGTTAAGTGACTTGCCCAGTGTCACACAGCTAGTAAGTGTCTGAGGCTGGATTTGAATTCATGAAGATGAATCTTAGTCTTTAGTTACGGGGGAGTCTCAATATAGATCCTTTTATACACCTGCTCATAGTAGAGAATCAGTGGACATAGAGAAGAGCTTGGAAACTTCTTATTCCCTTCCCTACTTCTTTCTTGTTGGGAATCTTCTTCATTTCCCCCCCATTCCCCTTCCCACATACATATATTTCCAGGATAGGAATGAAGATTATGTCTTCTATGCATTTTAGTCATAGTATATTCATAAGGATGGAATCAATGTTGTTCAAGACAGCAAGTCTCTTTGGGCTTGGCAGGAATCACTGAAAAGAAAGCCACACTGTGAGAACGTTATCAGTACAGTGATGAGGCAGCTAGGTGGCACAGTGGATAGAGCACTGGCCGTGGATTTGGGAGGACTTGAGTTCAAATCCGGTCTCAGACACATAATACTTACAAGCCATGTTGTGACTCTGGGCAAGTCACTTAATCCCAATTGCCTCACACAAAAAAAAATTAATAATGATAAATAAATAAATAAATAATGATGTGAGAATGTTATCTCTGTGATGATCATCCTTAAGAATCCACTCCTTGTCACTGACCCCACAAGAAAGGATATTTCTGAGTTTGGACAGGGGGTAGACAGAATATTCTACTGTGATTCTGCTTCATGTGAAGGATTAATTTCTTCTCTCCTGTTGTAAAATAGGGAGGGGAAAAAAGAAAACAAGTCTGAATTCTTCTGTGTCAATATTGTAATGAATGGCTGAAATTTCCCCTCAAGGAAAATGTCATAAAATACAGGTGTGGGGTTTTAGTGGAGAATGAAACAGTCATATGAATCTGTTGTTGGGGGTGTCTACAAGGAAGGGAGATCTCAGAGTGGGAAAAGAAAACACCTATATACATCAATGGATCTGTGATTTCATTGTGGTGAGTCCTTCCTCCAAGGATGAAATGCAATTCAACTGAGCAAGAGTTTATGAAGTACCTAATACATGTGGAATATGATTAAAGACTAGGGGTAAGGGCAGGGACAAAGTAAAAAATGAAAACAGTCCCTTCCCTCAGGGAGATTACATTCTACTAGATCAGACATGCACAACTTGGCAGTAGGTAGGGGCCAAAATTAAAATAAGCTAAACTTCTTCGGGCCACAGATAGGTTAGACTAGAGACAGACTGACGATGGTTGGCTACCACAGGTCATGTGACAAACAGTAGAATTTTGCAGTGGCAACCCTACATTTTTCATCGGCCTCCTGAAATCCTTCAGCGGCTGCAAGTGCCCACCGGCCATAGGTTGTGTTGTGCAGACCTATACTAGACACAGGTTACAATCTCTCCAAAGCTCTTGACCTGTAAAAGAAAATGATATTCAAGCAAATTTAATGAGAAAGACCAGCTTTTTGTCTCTGTCCATTTCTAGAGCTACTATTCTTTACCCTACCATGAAAACCATTGCCAGACAGATGGGTAAAGAAGACGAATTCGAAGGACTTATAATAAGTTGTCGATCTATACTTCCTCCGAAAGGAGCTTCAGAAGTTGAAATCAAAACCCGCCAGGTTATCTTTCTTTGTTTTCTAAATTGCTGATGTCTTTAGAACTTCACCATGTAGATGAATATGCTCACTTTGCACATTAAATGTTGTGTGTAAACCAAATTTCCCCAAACTGAATCATTTTAATATGTCCTCGGAGAACTGAGTCTATAGTCTATAGTTTTCATTTTGAAAAAGCAAATAACGGTTCTTGAATTAATCCATTTTTGGAAGTCTGAAGTTTCAGATTAAACTTGCTACATCAATTTCTACCTCAAAATCTATGATAAAGAAATATCCTCCCCCCCCCAAAAAAAAAACAGTAGAAGATTCTGCCTTCCATATAAAAGCCAGCAGGTAAACACCATCACTACTTCCCCATAAAGTAAAAAAAAAAATCAGGAGGGGGGAAAAAAATGAAAGTTGTGTTGTAGAATTGTTCTGTCATAGTGCTGACATATTCTCATAGCCCCATGCTGTTTATACGTCCATACTGAGAGCATCCTATCTGTAGCAGACAGAACTTGCTTCCTTAAGTAATTTCCTGCCTCAGCCCTGTTCCAGAGGGACAAGCATTGCTGTCCCTATTTGACAGGTAAGCAAAGCCAAGCATCTGGTGGTTCATTGGCTTTAGGCAGGTTGCCTAGCAATAAGCTGAACTGATAACTTGCACCGGTGAGGCCTGATATTATTGTTGGTCTCCAAAGCCACACTCCTTTATAAAGCATCTGTAGCATTGTAAAGAGAGCAATTTGAAGCACTGAAAATAAAAGATGGTAGGGCACTCATCACTTTTATTGGTGGTATATCCAGGCAAGGGACTGATAAGTGCTGATGAATAGGATGGTCCCCTCCAACCTTAGGGGAAAATTCCCTCCTGGGGAAAGATGGGCAGGGTTTGAATCAAGAGCCAAAGTGAGGCTGGAAAAATAGAGGTCAGAAACCAGGGTTTCTTAGCAATGCTGGTCCAGGGATTGACACCAAATTGAGGAAACTGAAACCTAGAAGGGAGTTTTCAGGTCAAGAAAGTCTGCATGGAAATCTGGAGGTTCACTCACTAAGCCCAAGCCCATGTCTGTTCCTGAACAGGCTGACGACGATCCCTTGCTTGCTCTGACCCTGGGGGTGAGATAGTTGGTCTAGTTTATAATTGCCACGTATTGATTTTTAAATCACCGTATGACAATGTTGAGTCCATTTCTCATCCTTTTTCAGGATCTATGGTTGCCTCTGTATGACAATGTCTCCGACACTTATGTCTGTGTTAAGGTCCCAAAGGAAATAATGTCAAGTTATAAATACTCGATACTGAATTCACCTCTCTTTTTTTTTCCAGTAAATCAATACTTGCTTTAGACTTCAGTATTTACTGCCTAAGAATCCCTTGTGGTGTATTGGTGTCCCCTCCCTTTACAAGAGGATAAGGAGAAAATATAGCAGGAGGAGGGGGAAAGTACCTTGAGGTTCTAAAATATATGCCCAAAATGTAGATTGACTCTCAAATTCTGTTTACTCTAGCTTCAAAAACTTCTGGAAAAATTTGAAAGTCATATGATCCATGAGGTGCTAAGAAAAGTTAAAAAGGAAATAACCTTAGTTATGTCAGAAAAGGCTAAAGAAGACTGTGTCCTCCCTACAGGTAAGATATATTTGAATTCAGAGTATTGGTTCATACAAGTCTTCCCAAATTTCTATGAATTCCTTATATTTGTCATTTTTAAAAAGCAGCAATATTCCATTCCATTCACAGGCCACAGTTTGTTCAGCCATTCTTCAGCTAATGGATACCCTTTTTGTTTTCTGCTTTGTTTTGTTTTTACCACATAAAGTACTGCTGTGAATACTTTGGTACATATGAGGCCTTTCTTTATGTCTTTGGCTGCTTTGGAGTATGTGCCCTGAGTAGAAATGCTAGATCAAAGGATTTAATTTTTTAATTTATTTTTGAGGAATAATTCCAAATTATTCTCAGAAGGGATAAACCAATTTACAATTGTACCAACAGTGTATTAATGTATCTGTTATCGCATAATGCCTCCAACATTGATCATTTTCATCACTTTATCTTCTCATGATAGAGGCAAAGTTGGCCTAATGGATAGAAAGCTATCCTTAAAGCCAGGTAGGCCAGGTATCAAATCCTCTCTGTGACACATACTGGCTGTGTGGCTCTGCAGGTGACTTAACCTCTCAGTACCCTAGATAACTCTCAAAGATTCTGAGTTGCAGAGGAGGTACCATCCTTCACTAGTGGAGGGAGTTTCCTCATCTACATGTTCCCTATCCCTGCCATATTTGTTAGTTTGAGGGATGTAAGCTGTTGATTTGTTCTTTTAATTTGTGTTCCTTTTTTTTAGGATCATAGTTTTATAGCTTTAAGGGATCATAAAGGTCATCTGATCTCATTCCCTCATTTTATATATGAACAAGTGGAGGCCCAGAGAGCTTAAATGACCCCAAGGCCATACAGCTAGTGGGCAACATCACCAGGATTAGAATCCAGACCCTATGGCTTCAAGGCCAGAATCTTTTCTACTGTAAGACGTTAACCATTTGGAGCAATCTTCCATATGGTTGTTGAGAGTTTGTAATTCTTTTTCTTTTGGAAACTGTTCATATCCTGTAGCTAACCATATTTGTTGGGCCGTAGCTCTTAGCCCGATTCAAGATGTAGGAGAAACTGACTTGTGTGTATTACATAAATACCTGTAAACAAATTAAAGGCAGATAAAATGTGTATATATAATGTGCATATGTTATATATAACACACACTTAATAATGTGTATGTAATATGTACATGCCCTACATAGTAAATATCTGGGTAGGACTTTGACACATGTATACACACATATGTGTAGGAGTACATATATGTGTGTGTATATGCATACATACTTCATGGGGAGTACCTCTACCACTTGTGCTTCCCTTTCAGGGGACAGAAGTCTCCCCACTGACAGAGGGCTGATGCTGCTGAAATGCAATTAGAGCAACTGATTTTCTAGTGCTGGTATTTATTGACTAACATGCAGAAGGGCTATCTTTCTATTCACATCAAACTTTTTGTTTTGGGAATATATATTTGTATATATTCGTGTGTATGTGTTTGTGTGTGTATCTTTAATTCATACCGTTCATCAGAAGGTCAAATACTGAAGCTGAAGCTTAAATACTTTGGCCACATAATGAGAAGATGGGACTTCTTGGAAAAGATCCAGAAGGCAAAAAAAGATTTGCCTTCAAAAGGAGAAGGGGATGGCAGAGGATGAGATGGATAGATACAGCCGTGCAAAAAATGAACATGAGCTTTAGGAGATAGTAGAGGGTAGAAGGGCCTGGTGTGCCGTGGTCCATGTGGTCGTGAAGAGTTGGACATGACTGAACAACTGAACAATAACTACTAGATAGAGAGATATTGTGTATGTATCTGTATGTGTATACACTTATCTATCCATGAGCTGCAGTTTCTTCATTTATAAAGTGGGGATGATATCTGTAACACTTAGCTCACACAGTTGTTGAGAGAATCAAATGAAATGTTAGATGTAAAGTATGTTTAATGTATATAAGTACTTTGCAAGCTTTAAATATACACATAAGGTTACATGTGTATACATGCGTGTATGTTTATACACATCTCTATAGACATACACACGTGTGTGTATATACCCATACATAATACATCTATGTGTGTGTATCAAAACTCTTTCTTTCCATTCACGAGTAGACCTGAACTATGACATTCTTCAGAGGCAGCCTGTTACAGTAGGATGAGCACTAAATGGGGAGACAGAAGACCTAAATCTGAAGACTTGTTCTGTCATTTCATAGATCCACCTGTCTGGACTTCAGCTTCCTCATCTATACAATGAGGAAGTTGGACCAGATATTCTCTAGGACTTCTTCCAGCCCTGAATCCACAATCCACAATAATTCATGGGAGAAAAATAATCTACCACCTTTCAAGTTAATTGTATTCTTTGAAGGGTAAAAAATATCATCACTTCCCTTTTTAAAAGATGCATATGGTCCACCCAGGATTAATTAATAACCACTGATCTCACCCTTCCAGCACTGTTATTTGATCAGCTTTCAGAGAATCTGAGCTCAGTAAACAGGGCTTTCTTCTAAGCCCTGAAGTGAAAGGTTGAGCTCCCAATGTCACGGGAGAGTTGTGTAAGGGTGAGTTCACATTACAGGATATTAAAGAAGTGACAAAGCAATTAGTTGCTGCTGCTGGACTTGTCTCTTCCCAGAGGAAGCCTTAGAGGATAGTCCAAGAACTCCATAGATGTACCTTTTCTAAATAGCATGGATTGTGCCTTTTATGAGACTGCTTATCTTTTTGTAAATTTTTTGAGGAAATAATAAAAGCAACAGTAATTGTAGTGGACTTTTATAAAGCACTTCAAAATGTGTAAAACACTTTACCTACATTATATCATTTGATCCTCACAACAATCCTGTGAGCTACTAAGTGTTATTATCCCCACTTTACAAAGGAGGTAACTAAGGCCCAGAGAGGTTAAGTGATTTGCCCAGGGCCACACAGTTAGTAAATATCTGGGGAAGTATTTGAACTCAAGTCTTCTTTATTCCAAGATCAAATGAGATAAAATTTGTAAAGCACTTGGCACAGCACCTGGCACATAGTAGGTACTTTATAAATGCTTTTTCCCTTCCCTTCCCGGTCCTACAGTCTCTCCACTATGCCCCTGAAGACTGGGGCCATTTTCTTCAGAGTGTTCATCTGTGATTGGTACAGATTCTGGTTCCAGTAAATTAAGCAGGACCAAGGATGAAAGTGAAAATAGAATCATGTATCAACGATGATCATGATGATGGCAAGGGTGATTATGTTACCTGGCTTCTCTTTCACAAAGTAGGAAGGCTGAATCAATTACAGATTTTCTATAATTCTGTGGACACTCAAAATATGTGTCAATACTGAATCTTTTCTCTCTCTCCTGATTGACAACATTATGAATTTTTTTTTTGCTTGCTCTGTTCAGAAGGCAGGAGTAGAAGCAATAGTTTTAAGTTGCAGAGAAGTATTTAGGGTTTATGTTAAAAAAAATAAAGAAAAAAACTTAGAGCTATGTAGGAGCAAAATGGGCTTGTTTGTCCTTCATTCTCAAAGAAGACCAAAAACAAAATGAGCTACTGATTGGGAGGTGATTGGTTCCCCTCCACTAGAGAGCTAGAATTGTTGTTGTTTTTCAACTGAACGTGCTTGTATTAAGCTTTAGAGGCAGAATCATATAGTAGATAGAGAGCCAGCCTCAAAGCTGGGAAGACTTTGTTCAGATCTCTCCACTGACACTCTGGCTATGAGTTCATGGGCAAGTCACTCCACCTTTGAGCTCTCAGGGCGACTCTCTAAGACTGTAACTATCAGGGTAGGTGCCAGCCTGCATAGGTGGAGGGAGTTTCTTCACCTGGGAGTTCCCTATGCCAACAAACCACAGCCTCCTTCCTTATCCCTTTTCAGTCTTAGTTCAGCTGCTCAGTTCAGTGTTGCTTTCATCTGCATTGTGATAGAGTAGTCATTGTGTATATTGTTTTCCTGGTCCTGCTTTTTCTTTGGTCCTCCCTCCCTTTGGACCCTAGTCAATGCCTGTGCTAAGATGTGCCTAGAACTGAACACATTGCTCTAGATGTGGTGTGATCTGGGCAGAGCATAATGGAACAATCGTCTCTCCCCATGTGGAATTTTTGCCTCTCTCTATGCAAACTAGGAGAGCATTGGCATGTTGGGCTTATGCGTCATATTGCTGACTCCTCGGGAGCTGACAAGCCACCAAAACCCTTGCATCACAACCCCCTCCACCTTCCAACCCTGCACTAGAGGTCTTCATACCAAGGCTGGGTGACCACTTGTAAGGGAGAGCACAGATGTGATTCTTGTTCAGGTACAGGTCGGCCTGGATGCCCTTCAGGGGCCTTTCCCACTGAAAAGCTGGGGTCCCTCTGACTCTAGATCCTGTGCTACATTTTCCTCAAAATGTTTGCCTTTGCAAAATCTAGCTTCTGGGCTCAGTGTTTTACTAAAAAACTGCTTCCTCAGAGGTTCTAACAACTAAACCTTTTGTTTGGTCCTGATCCTCCATGACCTCTCTGAAGTTTTGACACTGATGTATACAGATGACACATCCCTCTGAATACCCTTTCCTACCTTAGCTTGAAAGACATTACACTCTTCTAGGTTCTTCTCCTATTTTTCTAATCACTTCTTCTCTGTTTCCTTTGACAGCTTCTCTTCCTGACTCTTTGATGTGAATGTTCCTTGGGGCCATAGTATATAGAGCCTTGGAATTGGAATCTTAGTTCAAATCCTGCCTTAGACACTTACTAGCTGTGGGACCTTGAGTCAGTCACCTTCTGTCAGCCTCAGTTTTTTCATCTGTAAAATGAAAATGATAATAACACCTGCCTCGAAGAGTTCTTGTGAGGATTAAAGGAGATAATGCATGTAAAATGTTTTGCAAACATTAAAGTACTCTATAAGTAGTAGTTTAGAGGCAGCACAACATGGACCTTGAAGCCAGAGAGACCTGAATTCAAGTCCCTCTCAGACATATACTGGCTATGTGGTACTGGACAAGTCACTCAACCCTTTCATGCTCTAGGTAACACTCTGA